GTGACAAGATTGGTGATAATCATGGAGCATCTTTTCAATAGTCTCTTGTAAATATAGTTTGAAGGGAAGGATTTTGTTTGCAGGCATATGGATGGGGTTTCGCTATCAGGGGGCTGTGGGATAAGATTAGGTGCTGTTAATACAATGAGCGTAAGACTGTATGTGTAGGGGGGTGGGCCGCTGACCCGATTGTTGCAGATGTAAGCAGTTGGCAGTGTGCCCATGTGCCATGATGTCACCCTTCAGCCCAGCAGAATTAATTTCTGCTATACTGCTTAATCAGAGGCAGGCTAAAAGCCTCTGTGATGCTGTAGGATGCCGTTTGGAGGGTCTCTTGGGAAGCCGAAGAAGCAGTTCAAGACCCGTTGAGTGTCGTGCTCTGTAAATGTGCACATCCATACCAGCCTGTGAGTGAGAGAGTCCGTCTGCTTGTAAGAGTGGACAAGTTTAGACTGCCCTTTTTCTTGGCCTGTGTTCTATTTTGCATGCCAAACACCTCAATGTGAGGATCGTGCCGTGCTTAATATAGTTTCGCTGAATTGTGTTTGTGCAAAGGCTTGTGTGTTCCTTGTCCTCATATAACCCCTGGATGGATCCCAGGAAAGGGTTATGTTAGGACCCCTTAGTCTTCCTGTCCCACCTAAAACAATGTGCAGTCCAGGTCCTTGTGTGCAAAGAAAATAAATATTATGTTAGTGAATTCCTTTTTGATTAATTAATCTTTTTTTTTTTTTATCTGGTTCTTTTCAGTAATTGAGTGATTCATTTGGAAAATGACTGATCTGGTCGCAGCGGTTCTTGAGTTAAAAACACACTGATTCTAAATGAGCATCACTCAAACTGAGGACTAAGGATTTCACTTTTTAAAAGATTTGAGATATTTTTAGTTTTGTTTATTGTAAATGCAAATACATATGTAAGTTAATTATTTGTGGCTGAAAACATCTCATCATTTGGTAACACCTCATATCATTCTAAACCTGTTTGTGCAATGAAATCATTGGGGTTCATATATTTCGTTCATCCATTCCTTCTCTGCACAGGGTACTTAATAGTATAAAAAAACTGTAATGTAAGCAACTTGACAGAAACAAAATTGTTTTAGCCATATTTTCAGCATGCAGGTTGTGACGACCTCATTAATCTCAATTACAGTGGGTGTAAAATCTGAACTGGATCACATAAAATACAATAAATACATACATTTAATTTTACTTAATCAAGAAACTGGCATTTATTAAAACATGTTCAAAGCATGTAAAATGTCATGTGACATCTGGGAATATGATGACATATGAAATGCTGAATTGTTTTTTTGAAGCAGCACATTGAAATGAACTGTTAGAAAGAACTGGTTTGTAGAAATGAGTCAAACTTTCCAACATTACTGCACACAATTCAATATATAACTAGACTGGTACTAACAAATTATCTTTTTGTTACAATAAAAATGGACAGATTTTTAACTGCTTTGCCACACTTTTTGAACAATGAATTATGATTTTTCACAATCTTTCCAGTCATTTGTGATTACTATATTTTTAAAAATCATTTTAATTCAAAACTATAGCTAAATAATCGACACCGAATGGTGAACCAGCTTGACCATTTGAAAACAAGCAGCTCAAAAGCATCAATTGAGCTCCACTATGAGCACTTATGTGCAAGTTTTACAGAGTAATACTGTAAAGAGTAATTTATTATTTCAAATTTTACAGAAAAATATTTAAATTTGTTATATGTATGATCATACATTATACACACACACACGCGCACACACACACATTTAATGCTGTTTTTTTTTTCAGTCCTGAAAAAAAAAAAATGACATCATATCATCAATATCGAAAAGATTAAGCAGCACTATCATGTCACGCTACGCTGTTGAGGGAACACGCTGGAATCACGAGGAAACGTTTAACAGTCTCTTATCAAGAACCACAGGAGATAATCCACAATGGGCGCTTGAGCCAACACACATAGAGAACGAGTACACCTGACAAACACAAACTGAACAGACTAGGACTTTTAAACACAGGGCAATCAGGGGAACACAGGTGACATCAATGGAACAGGAGACGAGGAATAAACGAAACAGTCTTTAATCCAAGAAACACAGGGTACATCCAACACTTGGAATGGCAGGAAACACATGAAAATAGCAAGTAGAACCGACAGACACAGACTGCACAGACTAGGACTTAAATACAGGGAATGATTGGGGAAACACAGGTGTATGGGATGACTAATCAAACTAATTAACAAAGCGAGGACAGGAACATGACCAAATAAGGCAAAACAGGAACTGAAACACATGACAAAACAGGTCCAATCCTGACATATTAACACTGATAATAATAATAAGAAGAAATGGTTCTTGAGCAGAAATCAGCATATTAGAATGATTTCTGTAGGATCATATGACACTGAAGACTGGAGTAATGATGCTGAAAATTCAGTTTAAAATATATTCAAATAGAAAATTATTATTTTAATTTGTAATAATACTGTATTTCACATTATTAGTATTAGTTCAGATACCAAAAAAATCTTGTCAGGCATATTTAGAATAAGAATCATTAGATGACATTAAAAGACTCTATATTTAAAGGATTAATTCACTTCCAGAATTAAAAATTTCCTGACAATTTACTCACCCCCATGTCATCCAAGATATGCATGTCTTTCTGTCTTCAGTCGCAAAGAAATTAAGGTTTTTGAGGAAAACATTCCAGGATGTTTCTCCATATAATGGACTTCAGTAGGTTTAAACGGGTTGAAGGTCCAAATTGCAGTTTCAGTGCAGCTTCAAAGGGCTTTACATGATCCCAGCCGAGGAATGAGGGTCTTATCTAGCGAAACAATATTTAAATAATTATTATATTTTTCTCCATATAGTGGACTTCAATGGGGATAAACGGGTTGAAGGTCCAAATTGCAGTTTCAGTGCAGCTTCAAAGGGCTTTACATGATCCCAGCCGAGGAATGAGGGTCTTATCTAGCGAAACAATCTGTCGTTTTCGAAAAAAAATTAAAATGTATATACTTTATAACCACAAATGCTCATCTTGCACTATCTCAACTTCACGCATTATGTAATCACATTGGAAAGGTTACACGTGACATAGGCGGAAGAACCGAACCAGTGTTTACAAAGCGAACGTGCAAAGAAGATGAACGTGTTTCGAAGATGAACGAAGGTGAGTACTTGATTACAGAATTCATATATATATATATATATATATATATATATATATACAGTATATGCAACCTGGTCTCATAAAAACACGTACCTCTGGGTACTTTTCTGCAACACCGTTTTTACGTACCTTACTGCACGTTTTGCCGCAGTTTCAAAGAGAAATGTCCACTGAGTGGCACTAAAACACGGGTTCAATACGTCAACCCTGGCATGTTTTTATTACGTTGATATAGGTACGTATTGCTGTGTTTTTATTACGTTGCTTCAGGTACGTATTGCGGCGGTTAAGAATTCAAATATCCGGGGGATTGTCGCTAAAAGTTAATGCTCTGTCGTGTTGGAAATATGCCCTACACCAAACCCAACCCTAAACCTACCCAATAGTGTTAACAAATACAAAACTGACATAAAAACGCATTTGTTGATGCAACCGTGCCATTTAAACTTCCTTATATGCAGATTTGAACAGTTTTGTCGAACCGTAGTTACATGGGATTCAAACCAGAGCTCCTCACCTCTCAAGTACGCCTCCGTACTCCGCGAGCTACCAAATAAACCTACCGTCTATGAAAACCCATAGATATGAAGCTGGATATGTGTGATGCTAACATTCAAAAGCATCAGTTTTCAAATCTCCCAGCATATTAAAATAATTTTAAGTCATAGTAATATAAGTCATAACATAATATTTTTCAAGTAATTGTGTGAAAATGATGCTTTATTAATCAAAACTCTGTAAATTTGTGTAAAAAGGAATAAAAGGTGTCGGAGTTTTACTGCCTCTAGTGTTCATTTCTTTTGGAAACTGCAGTGATATGTACTTATTGGTACGTATTTCGCGTCTCACGAAAAAGTGCCCCCAGGTACGTTTTTGCCATGACACCAGGTGACGTATATGTATGTATATGTTTGTATAAATTTTGGGGTGAACTGTTAAATTAAATAGAACATTCGTTGTTACATCTTTCTTTTTCCCAGTACCGAGTACCAACCTCGCGAGTTGCGCTTACGCGGCCAAATACACACAAAAAATGACGTAAAAATGGCCGTCCTGGCGATTATCCTCGTAAGCACAGTCAGTTTTGTCTTAACTAAATGTAAACATCTGAAAAAAACAAAACACAAACGTCTTTCATTGTCGCCTGAGGAGGGGATCTGTCAAATGAGGTGCCGGATCAGGATCCGGCATGTTCCCGCACAAATTAAGCCCTGCTGTTGAGATGGTAACATGTTTTCAGCAGAAATCATCCCAGTTTCGCTTTATTGTATTTTCCTGATTAGAAAACCAGGTCAGCTCCCGCCTCCCATGAACAACTTAATAGGTGCTTAAAAGGTGTGTCTGCCAAGTCAAGGACAGATGAAGATACTGCCCACAGAAACACTCCTCCTCAGTAGTAAATTTTTACCAGCCATTTTTTTACGAACTTTAAGATCACTTCTGAGTTTTTCCATGGTGGATAGTGATGGTGTACATTTGCAAATGTTAGCTAACACATGGAATGTTAACATAACATGACACTGGCACTTACTAGCTAGTTATCTTGCAACTATAGGCACTGGGTATATGGTTGCTTAAAGTCTAGGTAGTGGCATTTCTCTGTCATATAACAGCTATAAAAACATTGTCCAATGTACTGGCAGGAAGAATAATTTGTCGTTATAGCATGTACACCAATAAAATGAAGTGTGTGTTTTTTTCCTCAACAATTTTTAATTGTAACAATTGTAATGGAGTAAATGATAGATATACATGAATATTTCATCGTGAAATATTAAGTTAAAATTTGTTGTTTTCACATCAGCTGCTGCTGCAATAGAAGACATATTGAAATCAGATTAGGAGAGTGGTAAGTGTGTTTATTCTCATATCAGTGAATGTCACAGGTTTAATTCTGGCTGACATATTTCCTAATAAAGTGACTATTGAGGATCTGAGTGTAATGCTAACTTTGGATTCAGCACTTCTGTTGTAGAGATGTTGGGCCTCTTCTAACCTTATGTTTAATGTAACACAGAGTATTGTATGGTGACGGCAGACAAGAGGATAAAAACGGATGCTCATGTCAAGCTTGATGAGGATTTAGTCCAAGCTTTGAAAGGTAAACTGAGAACAGTCAAAGGACCTGTTTACACCAGAGAAAACGCATGAAGTGACCAGGTGTAAATGGGCCCAAAGAAATGTTAATGCATATCTATGGAAATTATAATGCATATGATATTCAAAAACACCACTCAAAAGCACTGATTAATTCTTTTCTCCTTTCACAGACCCTGCAATGCAGTTTTCAAAGACCACAGTGTCTGAATTGCAAGCCCCCAGATGAAGATGATGATTTAAAGATGATGATGATGGTGACATTTGAAATGTTCTGTTTCTTTGTTTGGTTTAGCCATTTGCAGGCAACTTCATTATCCCCCACTTTCACAGACAAGGCTTAAACCTAGTCCCAGACTAAAATGTAAGTCTGAGCGGTTTCAACTGAAAGAAACTTGCACTGATTGATCTTAAAATATGTCAGTGCCCTTGTTTTGTCTCAAGATGCACACCAGTAATGTTTTTTTTCTAAAGCATGTTTATAAAAAATTACTTAAGTGTCCTAATTGAACTACTTTGGCCTAATCCTGGCTTAGCCTGTGAACCCAACCTAAATTATACAGTGCAATTAGCTTAATGTTCATCATAAGCATATCTAAAAGAGCACTTAACATACTTAGTTGTTCCAAAATAGCACATTTATTATGCACTTAGTATCGTATAATAAAACTTTAATAAGTGCATCGAGATTAGTATAGTGCATTTCTTTTTTACCTGGGAAGTGCAGGTCAGAATAAGTATGTTGTTTCATTTGTACATAATATTTATGTTACACTGAATGACAACGGAATATTATTTCACCCATTGACATTTTATTTTCACAAAAGTTATTTGAAACATTAAACACTTTACTTGCATTTATTATGCTTTATGTGTACATTAAAAATCACTTCTGTAAATTTATTTTGATGCGGTCTCGTCTTTAACCATATGATTTCTCTGACTTCCAAGCCTTACAATTATCTAATATTTCTTAGATTTCCATTAAGATAACCCTGTGTTAAGCAAGCCCATTTATCAATGTCCAGTTCAAGCAGAGTCACCTTTCTCAGGTAGGCAGCCCACCTCTCCCACTGGGGGAGAAGAAACAACAAAGAAAGACAGAGTTCAAGGAGAGAAATCTTGAAGTGAACAGTCACAGGTCAGTGGACATGCAGAGTATCAGACTGAAAATGGCCCGAGAGCATTTCACAGCACAGACAGCCTCACACACACACAAACACTTCATGCATGAGTGAACACACTCCTTTTGTCGAATGTAGATGTTTATTTATGAAAGGGGTTCTTTTGAAAGGTCTGTTTTTGTCTCACATCCTCTCCAACATAAGATCAGAGCGCTGTACTCAACCCCCTCTCGCTCTGGATATCGGGCAGTACTGCGAGTGTTTCCACATTCCGATGTATTACAACTAAAGAAATACCCTGTGCTTAGACAAATACTAGTGATGTGCCGAAATTTTGGCAACCGAAAATATTTGGCTAAAATAGTAAAATAATACATTTTTATTTTTGGCCAAAATAGTTTTGGTTTGTTGGGCTAAAATATCAAGAAGTGGCTCGTTGCAGAAGAACTTTACTAGGACTGGTTTATGAACCATGAACAGCATAACGAGTTCAATTACGCAGTAAGCCAAATTTAATTACCAAGTCTTTATTTTCAGTTTTCAGCTAAAACTTTTAAGTTTCAGTAAAAAATAATAATAATAATTTTGGTGCAACACTAACCAATACATATGTTTAAAATGTAGACTCACATACGATGATTCTGTCATACTGTTGACCTCAGTAAGTTTTATTCTACATAAGGGTGGTCCCTCCTCATGGAGGTTGCCATGTTGAGATCATATGACCAGCCATATGACCAGCCATATCTTGCAGTGAATTTTATAGTCTCGCATAGCCAGACCTTCAGACTGACGGCAGAAGGTCTGGACACCATCGCAGCTCTCATTGGCCAAGGACCACCCAAGAGGCCGTCTGACAGACATGTAAAGCAACCAATCATAGTTTGCTTTGTTCAGCATCATGTTTAGGGCCATGAAAAGATAAAGTTAATGTCCCTGTCAGTGTATGCAGTCAATAAAAAAATGCTGTTTTCAGTCGTGAAGATTTTATGCCATGATCTTTTGAAAATCCAGTGTTTAATTGATCCTGATAAGCGATCATTGTCACAGTTGTAGACACAACAGAGTTCTGGGTTTGGCATCACGACGGCTTTGTTTCCTGGTGGATTGTTAAAGAATGCGGTACATGTCTCCCAAAAATCCTGTAGAATTCAGCTGACTACTCTGAAACTCCGGAAGTGTTTCCCATTTTGTGTACTTCATGCATCAGACGTTCAGCCAACAGTCCATAGGTGTATTGTCTGATGCTGAGACTAGGTGGTTTATAATACCTAGAGAAACTATCTGTTAGCTGTTCCATTCAGCGTTTCCATTCCTCCCTCACGATAGCTGCCAAATCGAGATCACATGACCAGCCTGGCCTTACAATTTAGTTATTAAACAAAAGCTTAATGCATCCACACCAACAGATGTCAGTATTCAGGAAGTATAACATTTCAGCAAGTCATATAGTATTAAAACATGCATTATACATGAAAATGACTTGCATCAAATTGTAAGCACCAAATCATTTTTTTGGAAAATAAAATCAACTGGATATAGCAGTTACTTTTTAAGTTACTTTGTTAAAAGCGATTTACTTAAAAATTCATAAATAAATAAAAACCTAAAACAAATCAATAAAAGGCAGTCAAGTGCCCCTGCTGTTCCTCTGTTTCCTTGTCCTGTTTATGAAATGGCTGTGGGGAAACCCATGGAGAGGGTTCCTGATCATAACAAAGCTTTCACACTGCGCTGGAATGGTGTGCTGATGATATCAGTGAAGTTCAGCCAGGTGTCTTCCCTTTGCAGGAAAGTACAGTCTAAAACACGGACTTTTGGAGAAACCACAAAAAAAAAAACAATAATAGGGGAAGGGGTTAGCTTTTCTCTTTTATTAACTTCTCTTTTCTTAAAGCTTACTGGATGTATACATAGGACTGGCATTTGGGGTTGACCTCTAAACTTTAACGTCCTAAGTTCCAGATCGAGGGCTTCTGCTCAGGCTTGCCCCACTCTTGCGGCCATGGTGGTTGTTCTGTAGGAGGGTGTGAGGGATTCCCAGTGAGATCTCACTGTTGTCACCTATCTTGATCTTTTGTCCCCCCACCATGGGGTGGTCGACATCTTCTCTGTTGTGGCTTTTTCCACCTACATGTGACGGCGCTGTTGTTTCTCTTTCTGTAAGTTCATCTTTAACGTTTTCCCCCCCAGTACTTTGCTCTGTCTTTCTCTCTAAGACTTGCAATCTCTGTTATTCTCTTGAGAAATGGCCTAGTTGTTCTTTATCCCCCACGTGTGGCTTTGTGGCTGATAACCAAGACAAGGGTTAGAGATGGAGTCCTCGAGGGTTTGGTTTTTCCGTGACCTTTTCTTTCTGCCTAACGGGAACTTGCATTATTGATTGAAAAAACAACACTTGCCAAGTTCAGATTTCTGAGCCGTGTCTAAGCATCCAATGCTAAAATCAGAAAGCCTCTATGACAGTTACTATGTTTTGTTACTTCGGCACAGACATACAAAGCCACTCATGGAGCTTCTTGCTGAATCTAAGAGCTTCTTGCTGAATACCATCAATATTTAGCAAACCGAACATAGAGTTTTTGTTGTGGTAGTCCAAATGGTAGCAATTTAAATTTAAATCTCAAAAGAGCTAACTTTAAATGTTTTCTCACAACATCACTCATACAATATCTTATGAGTAATATTTAAAATACTTTGCTTGTTTCCTGGAAATAAAATGTTAGTGTATGGTGAAATGCTAATTCTGCTCATATCCATCGACTACGGCTTGCAGAGGATGAACTCATTCTGAATCAGAATGAAACTGAAGTAAAGACTTGCATTTTCTGACCATGTACAGTATAAACTGAGAATACTGGTGACAGCCATATATATACATGCATTGGCATTGATTAACTGTTTGACAAATATGTTAATGCAAACTATGGACTGATTTTCCATGTTGTCTATGTGTAGTATGAAGTATGAAATATGTTCCATTTCAAATCCATTTAAATCTTTAAACACACATTTATTTACATTTTTGAAAATGTAGTATGCATTTGCCAGAGGCTTTTTAGGTCATGTAAGACCTACAAAAGTGAAATTATCTAACTAGATAGATAGATAGATAGATAGATAGATAGATAGATAGATAGATAGATAGATACCTTCACTGAGACACATCATGTAACTCAAGATTTTAAAAATGCAACCAAGTCATTTTTTGACTCACATTCATGTTTTAATGTTATATTTTTACAATTATGTTTATGCATTCATATATTAACCTAACATCTTAATGCTGATTAAAAAAGTATAGTTTTGTATCAACTACACCTATAAAGCATGTTTGATCTTATACATCAATCCTGACTAAACCAATCAGAACCAATTTTTTTTTTAATGACAAAAAACTAAAACAAATGTAAAGTGTATTAGATTTAATTATATTAATGGTTGTGGTTATGCTTAATGGCTTCATGCAGTAACATGGAAGAATTATATGTAACTTCATTTTATAGTGAAGAAAGCATGTGCACAGACGAGAAAAATCAGTCTGTCACTCAAACGTTCTGGCATCTTCAGAACTATAGAAAAAAGCAAAAAAGGTGATGCATGCAAGACCACAAAGCAGAATGCAGATGGATGTGTTTTTGTGTGAACAGTGCATCGGGAAAAACACGCTCCTCAATACCACTAACCCACACTGCGCTCTTCATATATGACATTTACACATTCAATGGCTTTTCTCTTTCGTTTTTTGGTCTTTCTCTAGCACTCACTCTTCTGCGGTTAAGGCACAATGGGGTCTGCTCATTCACATGGGGGAGAAGGCGATACACACGCAGCGGTGCACGCCAGTTTCACCCAGACAAGAGAATATGAAGATAATTTCAAGAAATGCATCATGACTGGACACTCATTGCAGTATATAGTGTGCATGTTGTTCCAGACTGCACTGGGACAGAGAGGACGACAGTGTCAAATCTCACTTAAACTCACTTTCCACATGTGCCGAGGGGTCAAAACTCTGCTCCATACATGAGTGAGAGGAAGTGTGTGTGTATGCGTTTGTCTGTGTATGTGAAATCCCATTAGCAGAAGGATGTAACCTTTACCCATAACACCCCTCCATGCTGCACAACTCCCAGCTTTTCACATTTGTTTCAAATGTGGGAAGGACTACCAGCGGCCCACTCTCTCACTTCCTCTGGTTCGGAAGAGTTAATCCCACTCTTCTCTCAGAA